GAAGAAAACAAGAACGGAGAATGATCGGTGTGGAAATGAAAGAACAGTGAAGTCTGAGACAATTGATTGACATTTTGCAAATGAAGTGTTTACTGTATGATTATCAGATTATGCTAAGAGATTCTGTAATTTTGTGTCCAAATATATTCGATTATCTTCACATATATTCTCGTTCACTACACCACTGTTGTATGATTAACGATTAAATTCCACTTACAATACTTTCCAAATACGACAAACACTTTCGAAAAGATTCTGTTGTTGTTGTTATTATTATAAACAAAAAATTGGTGTTTCGCATTGCATGAAAAGTTTACTACAACTACAAAGTTTCATGGACCAGATAAAACGACTATGTTTACGAGATTATATCAGACATTGGTATGTAAGATCCACGTAGGAGAGTTGGAAAACCCTGATTCTAAACCAATGGTGCACATGGGCTCCAGGATCCTGAACGAAAAAATGGCGTATGAATCAATATTGATCACCAACTAACATGGGACTGTATCTCCTGACGTTTCTCCACTGCCTTGTAGATTAGACCTTTAGGTCGAATGTTCCGGGTGTGACCCCTATGAAAACCACCTGTTTCGGTTTGGGCACCCAGGCAATATCATAGCTCACACACAAATCAAGTGACTTGTGTGGTTCATATGTATCTAGTACCCCTCTGTACGAACATCCATGTGTTCAAATAAATAAATACGCTTCACAAGGTTTTAAATGAATTAAAATGGAAATGTTTACGATCAAATCTTTCTTCTAAAATCATTTATACCCTAACCTTAATTTTACAATGTTCAGTTATTACTTTGTCATCCAATTGCAATGTGACTCAAGTTTAAGGTGACCATTAGATGTTAACAACTCCCTATTAAACAGTATACTTCTATAATAAGAATATACAATTTATAATATTTCATGCTTTGTCCATGATATACATGAAACAAATACTATAAAAACTACTTTAATCTTTCAATACATACATTTACAATTGCCAAATTACATTTAAGATTTAATGAAGTATCCAGGATTTAATTGAATTACTTAACGACAAGATACCAATCTAGTATGTTTCATTTATTTATTCATTTAAACACAAACATTAGTACAAGGAGGCACCAAATACATATGCGTCACATAAATCATCCGGTATATATGAGGGCTGTGATACTGCCTGGGTGCCCAAACCGAAGCAGGTGGTTTTCACAAGGAGTCACACCCGGAGCCTTCGACCTAAAGATCTGACTCACAAGGCAGTGGAGCAACGTCAACAGATCCGGTCTCATGGTACCCAGTCACCAATAATTGGTTCGTACGCCATTAGTTCCTTCAGGATACTGGAGCCTATGTGCACCATTGGTTTAAAGTCGGGGTTTCCCAACTTCCCTAGGTGGACTTCCCGTGTCCAGCAACTCGGTTAAAGCTCCGGACATTCGCTTTTCATCCTCTAAAATTTCGTAAAAAACAGTAATGCCTTGAAAAGGCAGTGAGTAGGACTTCCCTGGTAGTGGTTGAATACGCGTGGCCATGGGAGAGCAGACTCTCCCCACTCTCGGCCGTACCAGGATATGAAACGAATATCACAAAAGTATGGGGTCTCCTCATTCTAAAAAAATATTAAATCTAAAGTCATTCAATTATTCACATTTATAAATCACTGTCAAAGATTTAATATGTTCATTTTCAATCCATAAATCATCTTTTCCAATTCAAAGGATTACTTTATTAAATTTGAGCATTATTGGAATACAGTTTAGATATGAGAAATAAACTTATCTCACTAGATAATAATGTTGTTGAGTGCTTGAAACAAAATGATAACAATATATGCGAATGAGGACCAAGGGAATAGTAACTTCATGGACTAATCTATGGACTATTATTATACCCATAATTTCTCATTGCATGGTTATGAAGTAGCTAGATTATATATATATACTCCTTTTATTATAAGCTTTTGATCAACCCATTAATTGTTGTTGTATGATTTACCACTCTTCATTTGTTTCCAGCGTTACTATTCGAATTCTCACCTACTTATAAACACTTTTTGACCTGATCATATATAATTACTTCTTATTTTATGGTGTGATATCGTCTGGTCTGATTGTATATAAACCATAACTGTCTAAAATGCAGATTCGTTGGGAGCTGGTGTCGAACTTTTGAACTCAAGGGCAGGGCAGAGAGGCGCTAAAAGATTGTGAACCAATAAGAATCCAGCCATCGACCAAAGGTTGTTGGTGATAAGACGGATTCAGACTGGCATTTTGGTCGCATTAACTGAATTGGGAGTCATAAGTCGTACAAATAGGTTGATATGTGTTTCAAGATTGTGTCTAGTATTAGTATTGAAGTTTAGAATCGATTTTCCTGTCATATACAATCTACAGAGACAGAATTGAAAATTTGGTACGTTTACCACAACTATTCTTACTCTAAGGTGATGAAAAATAAATTTCCCTTAGCGCTCGGAACTTTCTGAGTGGTACAGATATTTCTACTGCTCATCATACGTAATACGTTAACTTTGAGCATGTTATATCCGAGTGGAGATTAAATTACAGGTAACTTCCGAGGACTATTCATGGACTAATATCCTATAAATATTCTTATTGTATAACTATTCAACAATTACATTATGTATATTTATATCCCTCTTATGACAAGCTTTATTTTGGCCTATAATTTATTATTGTACGAGTTACGGTTCTTAAGTTATGTTCAGCTTATTAACTACTGCCTCCCACATTCACAGCCACTTTTTGGGCTTATTTGTGTACAAATATTATTTCCTATTTTATAGTACGTTGCGGTCTGTGTGATTGATATATAAACCAAGTATACCTGAAATAAACGATCTGCTCTGATTCGAAGCTGGTATTGTGTTCTGGACTCAAATGGAAGGGCTCGGAGGACATAGGACCAGTAAGGACGCTAGACTGCCCACACCGGTTGAACGTCATTGGTTGGCCTAGTGTAAAGATCCGTATAATTCGTATCCGGATTGGTAGATAAATCGTGTGATAGAAAAACCAGACATCCAAGGTCATAACAATTGGCGACGGGGATTTTGGCAAAAACAAAATAATTGGGAGACCCAAGGTCATAACAGAGCACGAGCCTAAATGTCGTATCCCCTACTCTGATTGGTACGTGCTATAGTATAGTACCGCAATAGTTTAGAGTTAAATAGATTTTCCTGGCAAATAAGAACTGTACACCTTGATAACATTTAAACTGATTAATAGTTTTTTTCATATTCATGACCCAAATTGGGAGATTGGGTATATATATGATTATATTGTATCTATTTGAACATATCAGTTTATGATTGTTTTCGCAACTCGTTGATCAGTCAATCTCTTAACATTCTGTTTATCCAGTATCTAAAAGAACACAACACCTAAACTTTCTCTGAGCAATGAATATTAACACTGACTGCCCCGACGTGCGATGTTCTATGGTGTAGGTTGAGAGGAAGCTAGAAGTGGCCAGACAAAAACATGGCATAAATCCATGAAGTCACTGACAAGTGGACTGAGCCATGTTGGTAGGTATAGACTACCTGATTGGGATCCGCGAGACAATATAAACCGATAGTTATAGGCCTTGAATGAAATGGCTCAAAATCGTTTGCAATTGCGCAGAAGCATCCACTCTTTGTGTTCTCCAAAATTCTAATATTCTAAATTCTTCATGTCCCTTTCTTTCTTCTCTTTCCAAATTTATTTCACTGGATTATACTCCTTGAATAACATCTTCAAACCCTAACCTTTCCGATTACTGTCGAACTCTTACTACCTCTACCACTACGGAATTTGAATCGACAATTGTATCTGTGTACTAATGTGGTATGGCAACTCGAACTGATGTACGTACGTACGAAGTCCTACGTTGTTTCTGACTGATTAACATTTCATTATTTAATTCAGTCACTTACTTAGAAATACTCTTTACTTTTTATCATATGTAATTGAATTATTGTGACTTAAGCTTGATGATGAAATTATGGAAAACAATTGTTAACTACTACCAATAGTAGTAGTAGTCATAACAATGAAATTATGAATATCCGATTTTGTTAAAAAAAATCCTGGTACCAATATTTCATGCTTGTTTCCATGGTCTCGGTAACATGTCTAATCTTTTACTTGAATTATACTTGGATAGCGATGATTATCATGATGAAAACTATATAGCACTTAATACTATGCAAGATAATTTGTGGTTATAAATATTCTATACGATCAGAACGCCACTATTAATCCTTACATATTTTGAAAGTTGTACGAACGCTAAGTCATATATCCGAGGATAAAATGACCACTCACCTAAATAATTTGCAATGAATCTGAACTGTGAATAATTTCTCTTATATTCAATAAGTAAATGGGATAATGAAAATTCATTTCCATACTAATAGTCGGTATGATTTTTAAGGTTACCGGTTTTACGTAATTTTCAATGGTGTACTGTGCCATTCATCCCAGTAACATCAAAGAATGTGACCCAGATATCAATTTTGAGTCAACAAACGGCCATTTACTGGAAACAAGAAGATCTGTAACTTAATGAAGTCCATATTAAAGAGTAAACTAATTTATTTGCAAGTAGTTCTAATTTCCTCCTAAATAAAACTTTGCAGAAGAGGAATTGTAAGTTGTGCATCAAGGTGCTTTGAAGGGATGTGGTAATATGAGGGGAAGCGTGAACAGTACAAAACAAAGGGGATTTAAGTTCCGCGACACGAGTAGCTTACGTTTCTGTCTAGCATATCTCGCATGTGCTCGAAGCTCACACAATTCTGGAAGTTTATGGTTCTTATAGAGATAAAGACAGAATTTGTTCCAAATCGCATATTTACTATTTTTTCCGCCAAAAAAGTCTTATATTAACCGTACTTGTATTTTTAGATTCTAAAACCATCGAAGAGACTGAGGACAATCACGAAGCAAAATAGGTATAAATACATTTTTCACAAAGCTAGGATAGGACAGTCGTTAATTAGGCATTTCTCAACGTATATACCTGACAGTGCCTCGAGATGTAACTAGACAGAAATAACAGCAAAGAAAAAAATATGAGACTGCGATATTTTGTAGTTAACAGAACGGGACATGAATGCAAATACTGTGTGATTGTTTAAACTTCATGACTAATAACGAGTAGTATATACCTACCATCAGCTATTAGACCAACGTTGATTTCACATCGTTAAACACAATAATGGATTGGAGCATCATAAATGCGCCACTTATACAACAAACGGTAGGGTTAGCTGAGGTTAAATACCATTAAGCCGGTTCAGTGTCGATGAAGGGATATTTTGTAGACCAACCAACCATAGAAGCCCACTTCATTCATTAGTTGGTGAGAATCACTGCTGCACTGAGTACTACTCAAACTCCATACTAGTTAGTACCTGATTACTATTGGCAGGTCACTTGGGACTATTTACGGCATGTGCAAACGACTTCATGTTTCCGTTAACTAAACAAAATTTGTTTACGTCGATAGTTTGGAAGATAAAACCAACCTTCGCATAGTGAAGGCCATAGCTTGTATCTATCTGGACAGCCTCATACAGTTGTCTAGTTAACTTTAGCTTCTATCTTAGCTCAACTACTAAGCCACATATTTGAATGGTCGCTGAGCTGATATAGGTAATATAACCCATGAAACTTGAATTGCAGGCTTAAAAGGTAACCCTCCTTGATCAGAAGATAGTGCCTAACCTTAGTACCGTTTACCTAGTAATATAACTAAGTATGAAGCATGCAATAAACTTACCCAGAAATGAACATTTCCGATTTACATGTCTTTTAAATTTTATATTTACGTAATACAGAATCTACCAAATGTTAGACTGGAGCTATGTTTCACATTTTTAGCCCTATACATAAATCTAAATTTTCCTTCAATATCTAAGACTTATTTTTGATACTGATCTTTACGAACTACGCAAACATAGATCTACAGCTATTTAAAACTGGATTATCAGTTTTAATTTCCAAAATGTAGTAGTCCATGCCACATGAGGAATTTCACTAACATTTATTTCCTTAAAGTACAAAAAGCAGCACATTTACAACTGGATCATTTTGAAGTGGTACATAATACTGGCTTGAATGAGAAAAGTAAATGCTATCAGAATGCAATCCAAACTCAAGAACATATATAAAAATCCCGATGAGTATGGAAAGCAAATATTTGAGACCAACGACACATAAACCTATACCTAGGTGGTTTTGTATACATACCTGCTGTCTTAAACAAAATCACATGATCTCCAAGTAACATTTTTGTCATCTTAAAGCCATTTAGCCAACAACATGGTGTTTAAGGAAAGGTTTTATACAAACAGAAAAAAGCAGTACATAAGGTTATCCATATACTTCAAACGATAGTTTCTTCCGATCGAATATACTCCCCAATATCAGCTTGGTGAAAGACGGTTATTGTCATTGGATCAGTGTTTTTTACTTGCAGAGATGACTTGGCAGCAACCCCAAAACCCTGAAAATAATAGGTTAGGTACGAAATTTCGTTGGATGCATTACTAGAGGCATATCACTCATGTTCATTACAACAACACCGGCGTACTGAGGAGTGTTGTCCGACATCTTAGCGACACCTGACCTCAAAATATTTTGTCCATAAAGAAACTGCTGTTCAGACGGTGCTTTTAACCAAACACGATACATGGCATACGGTGATAAGAAGTCCAGCGCGGTTATGTGGAGTCTAAAGTTGCCTGTTTTTGAGAAGCGACCAATACAAGTTCCAAAGCTTAGCAAATGTTTCTTTTTGATTGATGCAGCATGTTTTGCGAGTGTCGAACTAATTTTATAACGTACACTTTCGGAAGATTAGTTGAAGCTTACCGGCAATAAAAAACGCGATCACGATGGTAGTAAAAATTGTACTTGTCGTCTGGTCTGTTTAATAATTCATCAGCATCCTTAATACTTAAAGCTATTAGGAATATATCATAAAGTTACTATTTCTGTAGTTTGGCTACAACCTTAGCGAACTCATCTTTTTTCAGATCTCTCATGTTCACTGAGTTTAACGAGTGGCACTAAGGGAGTAGGAGAAATAAAGTTCGCCTCAATGAAGTTACCTGCTATTCGTCCCGGCGACCTTGAGCGACCCGCCTCAAGGCGCGCCTTTAGGAGACCTGCATATTTCAGAAAACGCCAAATGACTTAAAGCCAAGTGTATTGTTGGCTGAGGTCAAATTTATTCAGTCTCTGTCATCTAAACATTCAGCTATGGCATCGGTGTGCAAAAAAATAATACGTGCTAATATTCTAATTATTCTTTAAAGTAAGGAATGTCAATATAAGTTTTAATCGTCCATTGTGAAGAGTTTGAGAAGAGTCGTCACTCGCTTAGTTTCCACACACTATATGACCTCGTAGCGATAGATCCAATCTCCCAAGTTGGGGGAAATCCCCAAGATATGCATTGTGCACTTTTCCAGATTAATATTTCACCACCTGAGAATCACCGTAAATGACACTGTAGCGGTAAATAAATCCCCAAAATATATAGCTCTGTAAGTTTTCGACATTGGATGCTGACCACATGATTTACTGAACCCACCTAGCTGAAGGAGCTCGGTCATGCATCCGCACCATATCACGAGTGGGAACGCCATGCTCAACATCTACTGCAATCGCTAGCCAGATTTGATCAGACGATTCCCGATATATTGATATCACATCAAGTATACTTTCCAATCTCCTTGATTCTGTCTTTTGATTTCTCTTGGTAGGTACGAGTTATATTAGATGTTAGTGGTTAAAGTGTTGTCAAACACTGAATACCTGTGCCATCTTCAACACTATGTGTTCTGCCCTATTAGAATTATGTAACAAGCAAAGTAGTCTGAGTGTTTCTCCTCGAAATTTAAAGTATCCGAATTCTAGAACAATCCAAAGTCACTTCAGTGCTTAGTTAATATCTCATTTCTAAATAATCCCAGACGCCATGTCTGTTTGCTCTAGAGCGAACACAGTTTTTGAAATGAATTTGGAAAAGAGCAAAAAAAGATATTTGAAAGGAGAAGGGAACCTTATTCAGCTAACCTGATGGCTTTGAACGTGAGACTTCTGCAGTACAGAAGAATCGGAGAGGTTTTTTATGGTGCATTGTATTGCTGACAAACATAATTGCCAAAAATTTTGCTTAAAAGTGTCATTGCTGATGTGTGGGGGAAACTCCATTAAGGATGAAACACAAAATATTTTCTCCGTCAAACTTAACAATTTGTGAAATACCTTACTAGAAGTAATAGTGATTACACCCCAGGATTAATCCTTCAAAAGTTAAACTTTCAATTCAGAACTGAGGGAGATTACTCGAGGTGTTTATTTTTCGATTTCATGTGATAGTTTCATGCCGCTTTTGGAATCGTTACTTATTAATTCTGGAATGAAATTTGGCTATTTAACATCTGTCATACTAGTTTGACAATGTCTACGGGATTATTAATTCAACTTCAACCTTGTTCTCTATATCAGTCAGATTTGAGAGGAATAAAGATACACTCTTCATCACGTTCACTCTGATGTATTGTCTGGCTTTTAATCAAAATCAGCTGAAACATGATATTATCTGGTCAAGATTACGCAGTTTACGTTGCTTGCATTATAAACCCTGCAAGCAATTTCAACAGTGTCAATATAGATTGCTGTTTGCGTTCAATAAGAAATAATTGACCAGAAAACATTTTTGGTGAGGGCGATGATTTAAATCCGCGAATATTTATGGGGAGGAGCATTTAATTGTTAATGTAATGTATGAATCAACAATTCGCAGATTAGTCTAAACGTATTCTAATAACCAGGAGTAAACCAGGAACCAAGAGAAAAATCAGTCTATAAGCATGTAGCATCAAAGAGCAAACAAATCGCTCAGTAATGTACAAACCAATTCTTTACAAGTATCACACGCTTTTATCGATACAGTCAAGCCCAACGTCGACCTGGAAAATGAAGAACAGCTTTTGTTGCCTTTGATTATTTCCGGAGTTTTTGGAGATTCATATAACATTCAAATTGTCGGAGGTCTGAAATCCTTACCAGCCTACACAATTGTGTAATATGCCTGTTCCTTAGTTCAGGGAATGAGAAGCTAACTATATCCAGTGGTATTTATAAAGTCAGGTTTACTTACTTCAAGTTGTCATATATGAAGTATTTATCCCATTCTGATGTAGAGGATACTAAGGACTAAATTCTAACCCAATAAATCTACTCCTTTCCTTCGAGGTCAGAAAAACTAAGATGATATAGAGTGCGCGATCGCAAGAACTGTATGTTACGGGGATTTATTTACCTTTACATTCATTAGACATGTTAAGTCTAAACAATCAGAAATAACCAGAGGTTTCCTAATAGCCTTATGGAAAAGAGAAACTGATGTAAGCTTGTAGTGGCATTGAACAATAACCGCACAATCCGCAAAGCTGAACACGAGACTACTCAGAAAATAGATATTCAATATTTAACGCGGATAAATACCTAACAATGGAGAAGGCGCGAACAATGAATTGAATGAACTGGGGTTGATCGAGTGGCATGGCTCGGCCATGCAGGCGTGGTCCCTGCTGGATGTTATCTTATATCTCCTATTCATATTAAATATATTGTTCTTTCTCTAGCCTAAGCTTGTTTTTCATCATGTATTGGTAGTTGTTACGATACGGTGAGTTGGTGTAGTCGATAATGTGACTTCCACGTAAGATCTTATAGATTAGGCAGTTATATCATGACAAATCTACAATTTTAGGATTAGGTCTATTGTTAGAGCAGTACTAATATCATAGTAGACCATAATTCTACATTGGTGAGCCCAACTAAAGAAACGCAACCTATTATTGTTAATCCTTATTTCCACCTTAACCTTCTCAATCGGATTTTATTTTTGTAAGCCCACTATTCTAATAGTCCTTTGATTAATGGTCACATATATTATCGTAATGTTATATCTATTAGTTCACATAACTTACTAGCACATTCGATAATAAGAACTGGTCGTCTATATTATCTAATTAGCTTCGATGGTTCGTTAACAAGCTTTAATAGCATTTACATGCTTCAGCGACATAGGCTTGTTTAAGCATCAAGCTCTAGCAAATATGACCAGTAAATAACGCAAATACACAGTGACTAACAATGCAGCAAGGACTAAATAGTTACCTGGATCTAATATTCAGTGTTCCTTATCTTATTACCTCATCCTGTTTTAAGCTATACACTATCCTGTAATATCTTTTCTTCCGACCACTGCCTGCCTAATTTCAAATTTTCGAGTTCCATTGCCAAACAACAAGGATGACACTTCTCTAAAAACATACGGTGAGTTTCAGCCATAAGTTTTCTGCAATCATAAGGTCATTTTAGATGGCTCGTTCAATGGTGATCGCACAATTATCTGAATTCATTCGGTTGTTCTAATCCGAGCGAGTGGCAAAAACGTCAACAGCATCAAGCACCCTTGGATTAATTGCCATACTGCATGTTTTATTCTGGATACTTTTGGATCATTACTACTCACGAATGGCGTTATATATGTCGTCCACTGAATAATCTAATTTTCAAAAATAACCCAGGCGAGTTCAACTATTTTACCTAATGATTTTTTTTACTTAACATGTATATGTTTTCCGGTTCCTCTTGCTATATATTTGTAAGTGTCCCTAGGCTAAATGCAGTAACTTCTTATGGAATGTTTATAACGCATCATATTCCTGCCTGAAGTTTCATAAGCAGTCTTGACTATAAAACTATTTTTTGGTCATGTTCATTATTTTTAAACCGTCATATACGTCAACAACCTGCATGTTAACCTGGCCCATACATACGTTACACTATATCTCCATGTCTTCTAAATTTAGAAATCATCTGGATCGCCTTTAACATTTATCAATAAGCCCGTCATAGTCGTTGTTGCTAATCGTATTTGCGTTTATGGATTGGTTTATCATATTAGCAGCCTAAAATGCGAACATAGTTTAGACAATGAGATTAAAAATTTAGGTACTATCAACGGCACTAGTAAAATAAATAAATCCCCAGGTAGCTGTTGGCTAAACAAACGTTTAAAATCAAAACTCCGTAGCCTACTAGAATTAACACTAAACGAATCTTTCTGAATTAAAATTTATAATTAAATTAGGCGTCTCGGATTCGTTGACGTTATAAATTTCTGATGATTTCGAATCACCTAAAGCAACAATACCTATTTTTCCACTGACTAATCCTCATTCAACACTATAACTAGTTAAACATAATAGTTTCAGGATATCGTCATAAAGCATTGTCATAACTTGACAATCACGTAATATGACTGATAAAATTAATGAAACTATTAACGAAATCGGTCAACAAATTGACTTATAATTACCATTAACTGGTGTTGTTTTCTTGGTATCTTCATCCCTCACAGATGATTACAGTATGTTTCTCTCTCAGTTGCTCATTCAGTAAATATCTCAAAACCTTGTCAGTCTAATTGATGGTTTAGCGACACAATCATGCATGCAAATAATCAGTATAAGCAGTCGAGCAAATCTCCTGCAAACTGAAAACATCAATGTCGAATTTACCCCAACACTGACTAGGGTTCAAGCCATTATCATAGACATGAGTTGGGAGTGTACTCCCCTTGGTTACAACTTATGTACTCCCTAATAGTCACATGAGCATCACTCACGGTTAATCATCTTGTAAAAACTTATTTAGCCGAGTACATCTTACAGCACCACATCACTTCGTAATGTGACACAGGCTTAACTGATTTCAGTAACTTATAATCACCATATCTCATTTAAATCGTATTCTGCCCGCATACGTGCGACTAACTTGTATGCCCAATCAGCCGGCAAGTATAAATATAAATAAATAGTCTATCGCAGATCAGAACATTGAGTCTAGAGCATGTCTCTTACGAACACACTCATGTTTAACGATTTTTCCTAGCTATCTGTCCAAAATCCATATAATTATCACTCATGTATTTAAATTTTATTTTGATAACCATTCATGTGTATTAGTAGTATTACTAAATTCTATCATGGTCAAGTAAAAATGAGGTTGAGAAAATCTCCCCGTAACTAAATAAACCGTATCAAACTAACTGGAACACTAGTTGGAATTCTTCTC